GGCAACTTAGTGACTGAGTGACACCATCTTCCAAACACAAATATTAAAAGGGGGCTGGGAAGGTAGTTCATTGCGAAGGCCCTGATACTGAAAATGCAAAAGCATATACAGCTGACAGCAGATTATAGCAGACAGAAAAATGAGTGTACAGAGGCAGGCAGGCAGGGTCCCAGGGAGACGTGAACGGTGCTCGAGGGTGGGAGCTGAGGGCTGTGTCTCTGACTGGGCTACCTGGAGAGCACGGGCCTGTGTGGACTTCCTTCAAGTCAGCAAAGCGAAAAACAACTGCTGTGCCCTTTGTGCCCCTTGGACGGGTCCCATCAGCAAAGGTCTGTGTGTGTGGAAGACACAGACCCCCGCTGCCTTCTTACCTAATGAGTCTTTGGGGAGCATCATCCATCTGGGGGGGCCCCTTCTCACACAGATTTTGAAATTCCCGGAAGTTTAAAGTGACGCTAAGTCTCAAGCCAAGAAGGCCAAGGAGGCGCTCAAACTCCTCATCTTTCAGGTTGAAGAGTAGCCGCTGAAGCAATCTGTGAAGATCACGCATGTTGATTATGCCATCCCTGTCAGTGTCTATTTTAAAGAAGGCAGAGTAGGGGTCCTAGAAACAAAACGCACAGTCAGCGCACTTCCCCTCCGCGCCTGGGGCCACTGACTCCCTTCCAGCCCCGCCTGCCCCCTGGGACTCCTGGGGATGAGGACGAATGACAGGGCGGCGGGGAGGGCCCGGGGCCTTTGGCGGCTCCCGTTTGCCTGGTCCTGTTCTGCATTTCCCGGAAATCAGACACACTGAACTCTTCAGCTCTCTCTTTCAAGGCGGCAGCTGGGGCAGGGGCACAGAGGAGCTGTCCTCTACCTCCACCCAGGGCGTGGCGCGTGTACCCCCGAGGCGAGTGAGAAGCGGGTGCTAGGGCTTTCTATTGCAAGTCAGCATCTTGCTCTCCGCGTCTTGGGAGGCTTTCATAAGGCATGGCTACTGCTGTCTACAGGCAAACACACTGTCTCCCACCAGGGAGCCATCAGAAAGAAGACCAGACACTTTCGCTCTGTCCGTGGTACTCCGAGATAGAGGGCAGGCACCGGGATTCCAGCCATGCAGATGAGGAAACAGAGGCTCAGGGTGACTGCGGGTGAGCTCTGGAGGCCGCCTGCGCAGCTGCAAACCCAGCTCGGCCACTCACTACCGGGAGACTTTGGGCCGGCTGACCAGACTACTGCTTTCTCATCTGTGACTTGGAGGTGCTAAACAAAGTCCCTGTAACTTCCTCCTCTGCCTGCTGGGAGCAGGGATGGTGCTGACACATGCTCCCTGGCCCCTTCTGTGAGTGCTCTGCAGTGCTGTGGGCCACGATTTCTGTTGCCCAAACTCGCACAGCTCAGGGGGGCTCTGCCTGGGTCCAGCGCTTGTTTGCTGCTAACAAGGATTCTGGTCCTGCAGCTGGAACAGCAGTGGATGTGCATGCAGGGGCCCCTGACGCTGTCCTCACCCAGGAGCCACCAGGCCAGACTGGCGGCTCTGCCCTTGCCCCCATGCTCGCCACAGTCCCTCCCGCAGGAAGCAAGCCCTGCAAGGCTCTGATCACGCATGCCGGGATGTTGTGGGAAGACCTAGCGTCTTTCACTCTTCATTCACTCGCCAGTCGGTCAGCACCCCGTATGTGCGGCGGCTGCACTATGTGCTGTAGACGTCAGTTACAGAGCTTGTGCCCCTGCCTGAGTCACTGCTGCCCCGCTGGGAGGCAAGTGTCTAACTGGCTGTGGCCTCACCCTCTGGTGGCTTCAGCCCCATCTGTCTGCTGAGCCCCAGGGAACCCCAGCTCCGAGCCCTTGGACCCCCACATCTCCATGGGCTGGGCATTTCCTCCCAGATGGCAAACTGCAGAGGGCAGCTGCTGGGCCCACACACCCAGAGGTCCTCCTCATTTGCCCCCACAAATCCCACATCCTTCGTGTTCACACAGCTCTCCACCTACACACACAGTGCATGGGACTCTGCCCTGTTCCCCAGCTGTACTTGTCCCTTTCTGATGTCACTGGGACACTACACCAGATACCCACAATTTAAAGGAAGAGAGGCATTAATGGGACTCAGTTTTCAATGGTCTGTGGTCCACCTGCTCCGGGGCAGGGAGGGCATGTGGTGGGGCTTGGCTGAGGACAGCTGCTCCCCTCATGGCAGCTGGGAAGCAGAGGGTAGGGGGCAGCTGAGGACAAGAACCTGTTCAGCGCACTCCAGGGACCACCTCCTCGCAGCACAGGCAGCCACAGACTTACCACGTGGTCCCATGATGATCACAGCCCCCCACGACCCAACTGCCTTCCAGCCTTTGAGGGGCATTTCGGATCTAGTCCTGCACCCACACCTGCCTCTTCACTGTACAGGGTACCTGGGTCCCCAGGAACTTCTCAGGGCTGCCATCCTAGCCCACACCCACGCCTGTATGGCTCCTGCACCTCCCGCTGCTCAGCTGCCCTGCTT